GAACTGAGGAAACTGACCCATGATGGTAGACCCCTAAGATCCATACTGCCTTGCCTACTAGCCTACCAGGAAGCTACCTAAATTTCCAGGTCACCGTCCATATATCAATAGGTACAGAGTAGTAGAGGAAATGATGATGAATCTATACCTGAGTTCAGGTGCACAAAAGACATGCCCAGACGCGAGAGATGAGACAATATAACAGAAGGTAAATATGCTCTAAAGCTGTCAAAATATTTCTGTCATCCAAGATTGAAGTTCCAATGAAGGACCTAGGGGACTGGGCACCCATGAATTGCTGCTGGACTACTGCAGCTTCAGGCACGAGCCACAAAGCCCATAATACCTAGGTCCCAGGATATGGAATTTATTAGCTCGTCCTGTCCACCGTACGAGGCACGTTTCGCCGTCTCGATATGTGTATTGTCAGACTCTGTACGCAATTGCATCGTAACGCTCCATCAATTACGCAACGGAAGTAAGTCTTGTTCCTGACAGACCGCTAATCCAGTTTTCTGGCGCCCACCCTAATAAGTGACGTTTTTCCTAAGTGATTGTCCCGAAAGCTTCGCGGGCCGGCACATCTTGTATGTGCGGGAAGAAGGCCGCTAAGCCAAGGAGGGGCGCAAGTTCTAGCTGCCCTGATGATGTGCATCCCTTAACATCCAATGGGTGATACATGCGTGGGAAAAGTCCCCGAGAAAGAGTACTGATAAGACTGCTTATCAGACAACCCATGTGGTGCCTCCGAGGGGAAACATGGATGATTGTGTGGCAGTCGTTGATCTACAGTATGGTCCTCGCATGCCAACCTGGTGAAGATTTGACACAATAGTCGAGATTACGTAGTTCATTATGCCCTTGGCTGCCATGATGAGTATTCCAACCCATGTGGTCGAATCTACCCGGAGCCTTCAAGGTGTCTGACGGTACACATTACCTACTGGATAGTAACACCATTATTAGATTCGCACTAGTCCACCGCTCCAAGCTTCTGTCATGTCTAAGCCAAGGACTCCACTACCCAAACACCCACTGAGCTTGTAGGAAGACCTACCTACAGTTCACGAAGCCTGTCTTGCCTGTGTCGATTTTGACGATTCGCGCTGTTATGCGCTACGTGATCACGCATTGAAACAAGCGCATATAGGTACATCAAGTCGATGAGGCAACATTGTCGAAACATTGCATGCAACGACCGAGCCTGGAGCCCCGCCGTGATGGACAGACACTGAAGTTACAATTGATCAGCTTCCCCTCTCCATGGTCTCTCGCAAGGGTCTTGACTCTTGTCATTGCCTCCGCCTCTTGACCATCCGCTATCGGCTGATCGCGGGTCATTAGCAGTGCTGCCCTGATCCGCTCTCTGAGTGAACGGTTCACCAGTTTGGCAAAGTGCCTAATCGTATGAAGCTGTTTCCCCGGTATGGAGGAATTAGTCTGTGGGGTCCGGTCTATGGACGCCGCAAGTAACTTAGAGGCTCTATCTGGGGGTTGGTGAGATATGTACCAGGATAGGTACTAAGCCGAGTCAGTTTGTGGACCTATATCAGACCAAGATTCATATGAATCATTACGCAGGTTGACAGTTCGCTCCCTTGAACTCGGCCCCGAAACTACGGCTTCGTTGCACTGATACAATCGAGTATTTCGATGCGTAAAGGGCTTTTTGTCACACTGCATCTTGACCGCTGTGGACAGCAACCAGAGAGGCACCTAGGCTTGAGAAGCCGCGTGGGATGTGGGGAACTTCAATGCCAGCATGTCCAGGCTCCATTGACCTCACATCGTGCGTTTCGTTTTGGCCCAGGAACTGATTCCGTTGGCCGGCTCCTTCTGATAGCTCCCGCTAATCGGGGGCTTGTGACTGCAATTACATGATAGAGAGGATTGGATGCAACAGTCCTGTCAAAATGAGGCCCATCAGTGCCAGATCTCTATGAACCCTGATTGTAATGCCCAATCAAAATCTGGGCACAGTCTGAATGCTGCAGACAAAATAATGCAATCACAGCTGCCACTGATAACGATGAGAATATGGAACCTTCCATGGGCCGTCAGGGTCGTACTATGTATTTGATGATCATTACCTAGGGTTCAAGAGCACCATGGCAAGCCGATTAGCTCGTTTGTTTGGGATTCTCACCTCTGAGGCAGGCATTTTTTGCTTCCCTTGCATCCAGGCTTCCATTGCATTTCATTTCATGTAAGGACCCGTTTTTTTCAAGGTCAAGAGCCTCCACTTGAGGCTCACCAACAGCCCACGACCGCTTTGGTCTTGCGGAGTCGCTTTATTTTTAGCAGCCCCTACGCAACTGTATCAAAGCCAATGGATACACCACGAAGCAAGGAGATAGGTAATTTCTTGTCTTCCTCTTCTGTGACCTTGACTGTATGGGGTTCTCCGACCAAGCTGCTGCTTCACTGTGACAGGTTCATTGCCGCCCAATCCAGGACGGTTCATCAAAGACCCATGATCCCAGCCACGGTTTGATCGCATCATTTGGACACACGGGCCAGTCGTTCTCGCACACTGGTTCAAGCTCGGTCGGATAGCTTCGGCGCAAACGGGATGGTCCAGTACGGATAGGTTAGTCGTGAAAACGGAATCAACCCTCCTTCAGCCAACGGCCACACATAGTATATCATTTCTGTCAGAAGTGCAGCCGTGCACCCCGAGCCGCCGACGAAGGCGACTGGAGAGGGGCTCGAATTTGGTAGTGCGTCTCATTGGTACTCTCTCAATAATGCTATAAGTCCAGGTATCGGGTAAGTGTTCAAGTATCAGATATGATACTATGGAGTATGGCTTGGGGTTTTATCGATATCATCAGAGATTTTGTTCAAGGTGCATGGGATAATTCGAGGATTTAATAATATCGTGCACAATTGACCGCTCTCAGCCAAATGTATTTAAAGCGTGGCCGGCGTTGTGCAGCGGAAACATTGTCAATCTTAGCCTACCATGATGGCCGGAGTGTTTGTTATCTTGTGATCAAGGCATGGATGTTAGTGATGATGTCTTGAGATTTATATGACTTCCAGCCAACTAGAGACCTATTTGACACGGGTAGTCCAGCCACAGCAAGATCTTCTGGTGTCGCAGCGTGCCAACTTACCTGTCACCGGTCAGGGTATTGTCCCCATGCAATCACGCTCACACACACTACTTTTATGACGAGTCTACAACTACCTATCGACCGCATGAACTGGGCCCTGTTGCTTGCCTATTTCTCACCTGTCATTGTCCCTCCTCACAAGTGAAATTCATGATTGGGGTGAAGCTGTTACGGCGGTAGCCTAACTGTTGATCCTCGTTATGTCCACGCCATCCCACTACTACCCCACACTGACGATCAAGGGACCAAGAGCTGAGCACGCGCAGTAAGACCTCTCAAAAGAACTAGCCAATAGATATGACTTCGAGCATAGTTCTCCAGCCCTTCCTTTTATCGATGACGGCAATGGGTGGGCTGCTATCGCGAGGGGAACTCTGCACCATTAGTCCAATTCTTTAATGCAGATCACAACCTATCATCCATCACTTCGGTGCACGACCGAAGCGTGAGCCCCCAATGTTATCAAATGGTGAGATTTGGTACCTCGCTGATGTAAATCTATGAGTTGGTGTAGTATGACAATATCAACTCATCACGTCACGTCACACCATAGCCTGTATTTGGTCACTCACAATACGGAGGCTCAAAGCGTCGGCGGCCCGAAGACAAAATCTGATACAGGATCATCATACAGAGAAGGGGTTTTGCTATGGTATCATTTAATGCGCCAGAGAGTAATGAGATTACACAACCAGAGAGGTTGGTCGACGGTGAATTGTGCTAATTCTCAAAGCGATGGCTTATAAATCTACACTACACCTGGAACATAGAAGTATGAGTGAGACTTGGGAGAATAGTGATGGTCTTCATCAGGTTGATCTCTGGCGACTTGGCTTGCTATCAATATTGGGTGAAGAGATTCATTAACTCAGCATTCGGTTCGTGGGTTTATCAGTTGAAGCTTCCGATTTATGCTGCATTTGTCTCGAAAAGAGAGGCTATTATGATTTTTTGGTTCCCGTCCTGTACAAGGCTTATTCGAAACAGGAGGTTCAAGTTCTCATCCGGTGTTCCCATTTGAGGGTTAAGTCATCGAGAGACAATCCTCACAATCTAGTCCCGACAAAATACATCGAGGCCCGTAGAGAACCGAATCTTGCGAATGTCAAAGAGACCGCCACCTCTGGGCGGATCACAATTGCACCATCTGCCATGATGTGACAGGATCGGCTGAGACCTTAAGAAGCCATGACAGCTGTGACTGTTGACGAAGCGGTGAATGAAGACTAGGCAGCCATCACAGTTGGCTTTCTGATTGTACATGACCTCCCATTTCACGTAAACACGCTATGACTCACTTGTCACCCTCTGATTCTAATGTTCTTCCCTCTCAGCTAAGTGGCTTCGTATCTGGAGTAGCAACCATTGGCAAGTCCTACACGATTCCGTTGTGGTAGTATAGATGCCGAAACCCGATGATGAAGTATCACAAATCTGTGAAGACAAACGGTTTACGGAAGATTATCAATACTGATATTGCCACCTTACTCATGAAGAGCTCGATGACTCGATGGCAGAATAAAACTGCTAGATAGCTTGTGTTTCTGCCAAAGCATTATCTTGCGACCCCTTGTTTTATTATGCTACTTTGGGGCATTGGCTATAGCTTGCATGTTACCATGCAAGCATTTGAATTTTGAATGAAAATATTTTATTATTCAGGAAGACAATTATTTATATTTATGACGTATGAGGGAGTGAATATGACCCTGGAATGCCGAAGTTGTTGTACCATCAAATATTCTGCTTGCTTGGTTATGCTGTTCCCTCCCAATACTCCTAACCCCTGCTTTCGTAATCCGACATTAAGTAAATTCAATACATTCAGCCTATGTCCTCGGCAAAAGGAAGCTTTTTTGTTTTCTATTTAAGAAACACCAGTCATGGATGGTAATACGTCTGGTGGACTGGTTGTCCAGGTACGTACGAAGTGCGACGTTCTGCCGCAAGTTCCTGCGGTGCACCGGGTGGAAAATACTCTGGTCCATTCTTCGATGAGTTAGAAACCATCGTGCCGTCGTAGTATGGAGGACTTCCGGGGGAATGGCCTTGGTCCGGGATCTGCATCATGCTCACCTGGGGAACCCATAGATTTCCATTTGCATCATATTTGGGTTCAACCGCCGAAACTGGCTCTGTACGTGGTGAAACGTAAGACGAGTCTTCGGGATGCCCAGATGGCAGTTCCACTGGCGGTCCTGAGTGTGACTGGGCAACTTGCGGGCCCGCATAGCCCACAGGGCTTGAAGGGGTGAAGTTCGATGACTGTGGACTCCAAGGGCTAGGGGACGGTTGGTTCGAGGCGAAAGATGGATGCTGGGGATGATGGTAGTCGTAGGATTGAGTCATCGGCTGCTGTGATCCAACACGTTCTCGCCGACGTCGATGCTTTCGGATGAGGCAGAAACATGTCACGAGCACGACAATAAGAGCTACAGCTCCGCCAGCTGCGATACCTGCAATCGCACCAGTTGATAACGTCGCTCCACTTTCATGATCTCCAGTCTCAGTAGGGCCAGATACATCTCGGGTTGCAGTCCTTGATCCAGCCGATGCCGTCCGCGTCATGAGGGCTTTCAGATCTTGGTGGTCGAAGCCACCGGCTGGTGCTGTCTTGGTCGCTCCGCCGCTAGGATTTCCTCCCACAACTGAAATAATGTCAGTGGGGACGGCATATTTGGTCAATTCGGGATCGTAAAGCATCCAGGGCGACTTGTCCTTGTTTTGTCGCCCCAGGGACATGTCGTGTAAACCCCATTGGTCTGGAACATCGCAGTCATTTGTCAGGGGGAAGAAACCACCATGAATCAACATCTGTGCCTCGTTCACAACGTTGCAGGTAAAGCTGTGATGAGGGTAATCCCCAGTTCCGTTTCCTTCGGGATACATCTTGATCCACGTGAAGGTAGGGAGCGTCAGGATATAAATGTCATCAAATCCAGAACTTCCCAGCTCTTCACCAGCTCCCCCATATAAGTAGCTGAGCATGGTCAGTACATGATGGCACTCAAGTTGATAATAATACACTCACATATTGTAAGAAGACTGGTCCTTGGTCCACGTAGCGCCAGCGCAAAATCGTCGACGTGATTCTGGAATATCACCCGTTGCATTTTGGAAATAACTTTTACCGCTCAGAACGTCATACAGAATAATCTGATCCATTGGTTGACCTTCCCAACCACCATCTTCGGCGGCTCTGATTCCGCCAAAGTAAACAAGCATACCACCATCTCCGGCAGGGATGTGAACCATCACACCCTCGGCGCGGCCAATATCGTCAGGTCCTGTGTCATTGGACCAACTGTTCGTGTCCATCTCATACCGCAGGAGGTATGATGTTGGTATCTGGGGAGCGTCACCCCAATCCGCGTCGGTCGCATTGTTCATCCATCCGCCATAGTAGTAGGCCTCTCCCCGATCCGGAATGGACAACCCAGCTCCATAGCTGAGCCCGACAACGTCGTCTGTTCTAGAGACCCCCATGTTGTCCCACTCATCATTTATGATATCGTAAGCATAAAGGTCGAAGTCCCAAGGGGTCACACCATTGAATTCGCCGCCAAAGAGATAAATCTTCTTGTTGATAGTATCAGGCCAAAAGATTCCGCCACTAACATCGGGAACCGTGGAGTTCTTGCTCAGGTTCGCGTATGGTTGGGGCATGCCTGAACTGGCTACGTTGCTGAGATCATGATAAATAAAGTAGGGGTCTATAGGAGTATTGGTCAATAAGCAGCTGGGGAAATTATTTCGACGAAATCTCGCCACTCGAATGTGAGAGATTGAGTAGGGCTCGCATACTGGAGAAGTTTTGTGGTGTTCCAGAACTACCATCATAGGTAACCAACCCTCCACCAATGTAAAGTTTGTCGTCAACCACAGCACTCTGATGACCCCATCTTCGACAGAAATTCGATATGGGATCTCGTTGCTGCACTGTGAGGTTGACGCAAAAGAACGATAAGAATAGAAGGACCAAGCCCTGGCGAATTTGGCTGGCTGGAGAGATTGAGATCCACATCATGGCTGCCACCTTGATGCTACATTTACTCACTCTCTCCCGGCCTGTTGGTTGATCACGAACCGCGAGGAACGAAGAGGTATTGGGACCTGGGCAATCGTCGTCAAGAAGTAGAGCAATCGCGGATGTGATGAAGAAGAAGGAAAAGTCGGAAGCCCCAGTGCTAACTGCTAAGTCTCGTCTCGTTTCGCTTGCTCCGAGCAGTCTAAGGCAGACAACAATTGCTGATCATGAGCAAGGGGCCTGGCCGGATCCATGGGGGCCAGAAATACATGGGCTGGCGAGGGCTGTACAGGGCAGCGAAACCAATCTCGTGTTTTTCTTTCCACTGCCAAATAAGCGTAACGGCAGATGAGGGTGGCTGAGATGATATCCGGGGCTGACCTTGTTGCGAGGTCTAGACTTTTCAGGTCGACGCCTCAAACGCATCCACAGCGTCAAGGACAGCCCAAGCAGTGGGCTATCCATGCGGGAGCAAGGTTCGCGGACACCATTCAGAGCACAGAACTCTGATGTTCCTGCTGGCCAGCTGGTCTTTGGTGGTGAGACGACGGATACGCCCAACCTGCTGGTGGCAGGGGCGGGCGTTGCTAGCACAGCTAGCGCGGATCATGATTCGCGCCAACCAAGGAGCTGGATGCAGCTAGAGAAGTCAAAAACGATAGGACTGTCCAGTTGTGCTACGGGCTTGCATTTCAGCTCAGATGCAGACTCGGAACACAAGTTAAGGAGGGTCCCTAGGGCTGAACGGGGTGGCACCCACTACCCATTTTGCCAGAGGTCGTCACTTTGTTTCGAATATCCTCCGTACTCAATACGGATTATAAAGGACATCCCAATGATCTGGATGACCAGACTTAAGATGAGTCCTATTTCCGAGGGGCCAATCTTGGCTGATAATTTGCATACATATGTACCTTGGTACTAAGGTAGGCACCTCCAAACTACAACAATACTAGTACCTATAGTAGGTACTGTAGAATGGAGGAAAGGACGGGAGTCCGTCAGCTCGGTACCTAGTCAATTCGCGGTTTCACTGGTGATTCCTGATTGGTTTGCCTCGTCTCACGCTTCCACTCACCGGGAACCATCTTTCAGGATGAGGCACAAGCCGTCGTCCAAGTGGAACTTCCGGTCCTACACGGATTTTGCCATCCAACCGTTTCTTTGGAAAGTGATAGAGAGTTTTAGATCAGAGAATAAAAAGGCCAAGAGCAAATTCTATGCCTTTCTTCATAATCACTCATATTAGATCATCACACAATTTAAATAAAGTTTTCATGCAGCTGTCAGTTGCACCTCCTCAGGGGTTTAATTTACCGTGTAGGTACCAAGGTAGTAAGGCAAATAATATATGCAAGTGCCTCTAAGGTGGGCAATACTGATTTCTGTCTTTTTCTTCGCACACATTGCCAGCCTGGCTGGGATCTGTTAGAACTGCATCATGGCTCTGTGCCACAACTGAACTGTCGGCTATCCTCTTTGCAGACTTAAAAGCTTCGCTTAGGATTACCTCTAGTTGATTTTTCTTATCGTTCGAATCGCTGCGGCGGGCTAGTCTCTGAATTATTGCTGCTGATGTCCGTTGTTCTTGATTAAGCCACTCGATCATACCCATATGACCAATCAGGATGATGGAGGCTCGATAAGCCTCGAATGCTGCCTCCCGGTTACGTCCATGTAGGCAAGCATTGATAAGAGACAGAGCGGAATGGTTGTGAGTCCTGCTGCGACCAAGTAATAGCTCTAGGAGTTCCTGCCGCCCCAACAGGTCAAGACCGTCGGGTTGCGAAACGCTGTTGAAGTGGCATTGGTAGATTTCGAGGCAGTGGAGGATGTCCATTGACCCTTGAGGACTACCGGTCCAGTAACCAGTTTGAAGTCCAATTTGAAAGTATCTCTTGGAGGCTGCGGGCTTGCAGATTTCTGCTGAGAGTCTCAAGCCAAGCCCACATAAAGGGCCTCCCAAGTGATCTCCCCTAGCTGTCAATCGTTGACCAAGATTACCGAGGAACACCAAAACATCATGCTTATTCTGTAGAGTGTCTTGCTTCAAGAAGTTCTCACATGTAATGCGAAGATCTGAAGATAAATCCCCTGTCGATTTTTCTTGGCCCGGGCTTTTGAGTTGGTGAGATGAGATGGCGCTGGTTTCAACTGACAAATATTGTGATACTAGCCTACGAAGGTTAGTGAGTGAGTCTTGCTTCCTCAGCGCTGCTGACAGCTGAGCTGAATGAGACGGAGAGGTGGCTCGGTATTTCCCAGACCATGACAGTTGCGTCCGCGATTGAAGCCAGCGCAAGAGTGATGAATCGTCCTCCAAGGCCTGTTTTGGAATGCCGTTATTTGAGCTGACGAGGTGGAGTTTTTTGGGCTCTCGCTCCGCAATCGCATCATTGGGACGTCCTTTTTGTTTCTTTGAGGAGTTGATCAGCGGAGCCGGTGCTGGGGGTTGGAGAGCTGCAGAGAAAATGTCGTGGCTTCCGAGTCGCCAAGAGCTAGATGGTTCCGAGTGTATTTCAAAAGCTTTTATTCGTGACCAGGTGAGAGAAGTTTCCATTCTGTGAAGCTTCCATCGAACATCATCTCGCTTACTATCTCGAGACCATCTCCTGAGTGCCCGCTCTTCGTCCTCTTCTGAGGTTGGTCGGACGTGTTTGCTGAACATATCGTCTAGTTCAAGAAGGAGGTCGTTGATCCGAAAGTATTCGTGTTCTTCGGGTAGCTTGGGAGTTTCGGGCCACCTATTAACAATATAGTATGTCTCCCCCCACCTCGCTTCCTTTTTCAAAAACATTTTGCTCTTTGTCTTCCCAGCATCAAGCGCGGTCGAAGCTGCTCGGCGTTGCATTTTGACAAGGTAATGACTAAGATGGGTACCAAGGTACTTTAGCTCGTTATCGACGGCGGAAAGATTGTGAGCCGCTGTGCGCGACTTGAGGTGAAGATTGATGCAAGAGAGAGATATGGCGATTTATTTCTTCAGCAAGAAGAGCGATGTTTTCAATGTCCCTGCGACGTAATCCTACGTCCCCCGCAAAGTGAGAAGGACCCCTGCTGTTAACGGCCCGGGCTTTATTTTGGTGCCAGGCTGACTAGGGGAACTTGTGGAGGAAGCAGGACCTCGGTCCTGAATGATAAAAAGACTTGAACAATTTAATCTAAGTTGAAGAAGTCTTTATTAAGTTCATTTTACCATATTTTTCTAATGTCTTATGTTTTCTTGCTCCCTGAGGGGTACCTACCTACCTACCTACTCAATTAAAAGTGATGTGAGGCACGTGACCTATTAGCCTTAGGTACGTATGAGGATACGAAGAGCGAAATCAAGTGACCTAAACTGGGTTTCAACTTTAAATAATACAAACAACAAGGCCTCTACGGATATACTCTTTGACATAACACTGGTCAAAATCAGACAAGACCTATCAACTTTCTCCACCCTCTTGCCGTTAACCTTGTACAAGGCCATCGAGCTTTTAATTTTATAACAAAGACTTAAACAGTACTTAAACAGTCAGGTCCCGATAGTAAGGCAGTACACCAGACGTCAAAATCAGAGAAGGTTTATCTGCCTCCTGGCGCAATTGCTGCCTTGGTCAAGCAGTATTAATACCGCCCCTTCGCGCAGCTGTGTCGGCCTTCTTTCTTCAATCAACCTGAAAGGCTAGGTACTCTTCTGCCAACCCTGGCATCAGTTATACCCACAGTCTCGACGCAAATTTTACCAATGGCTCCCTCTCCTACTGAAAAGAAGGATGAGGCGCAACAAATTGACAATATGTCCAAAGCCCAAGATCGCATGGCTCGGTTCAAGGCCCTTCAAGCGCGAGCAAAGACTTCGTCGGAGAAAAACCTGAAAGAGGCGACACTTGAATCACAAAGGCTAGCCACAGATCCCAGCCAACTTACCGCCCTACATCGGAAACATGCGATCGCATCTCACAAACTACTCAAGGCAGACGTGGAGGAAGCGGGCGGGGATTTCGAGCGAAAGCGCGCATGGGACTGGACTGTCGATGAGAGCGAGAAGTGGGACAAACGCCTCAAGAAGAAGACGACTCGTCGCGACAACAACGCTTTTGCCGATCATACACAAGAAGCGAACAAGATATATAAGCGACAGCTCAAGAACATCGATATGAATATGGAGCAATACGAGAAAGATAAGAAGGCTCTTATTGAGAAGGCAGCGGCGTCGGGCGGACTAGACATTGTTGAGACCGAGGATGGCGAGCTCATTGCGGTGGATAAGGATGGCTCCTTCTACTCTACCGCCGACTCTACGACCTTTGCTGAAAATAAGCCAGACAAGGCAGCAGTCGACCGCTTGGTGGCAGACCTGCAGAGAGCAGAAGAACAAAGATTGAAGAAGAGAAAGGAGAGGATGGCACAGAACGGGGACGATGGCGATGTGACATACATCAACGAAAAGAATAAGCAGTTCAACCAGAAGCTCTCGCGGTTCTACAACAAGTATACCGCAGAAATCAGGGATAGCTTTGAACGAGGAACAATGATTTGAAACAAACAAGATATTAAGTTAGGTTTTGGTACAGTCGATTATCATACGGTTTAGCGCCTTTGCTTTTAATACAATACCACGCAATATCCTACAGCATGGTTTTTCTCCAGGCTTTGCTTGCTAACTCCTCAATTTCTGGCACGTCGATGGCACCCTTGATGGTCTCATCGCCCAGGGCCTCAACCACTGCCTCCGCCACAGTCTCAACCTTCAAAGGCTTGACTCCCGCCGCACCAATGAAAGTCTTAAAGTAGTTGCCTGTAAGACCGTTGAAGGCTGTGCCAAGGCCAACCATAGCAGCCAGAGGCATTGTCACCGGGCGTGAGCTATCAAACATGAAAGAAGGGCGAATGAAAAGACCTCTGAGCTCTGGGAACTTGCTGGCAATGGTGATCTCGGCCTCTCGCTTGGTCGATATATATCGTTGAGGGAGAACAGGAGCACCTGCTGCAGCAGAGATGTAGCAGAAGGC